CACGAGTCCAAGTTCTATCCAATATCTATATATATAAAAGCCAAATACCACTCACTCATCATGAAAACTCCAGAACAGTACAGCCTACAAACTTGAAATTTGGCACGTATGTTCCTCTTGGCTTCTAGGTGCTTGCTAAGAAAGGATTTTTCAAAATGACCATCAGATCATTAGTATTTCATATACAGTATTATATTCACACGCTCTGATGATAAAGAGCTAGACATTCTACTCCCCCTCCCCACCTGAAAAGAACTCTGTTCCAACTGCCAGTTGCCTTATATTAACACGCTCTGATGCTACCCCTTCGCTAAACCAGGCATAGGTGTTGCCAGCGTGTGACTCATCTGGCCTGCAGGGGACATTCTACTCCCCCTCCCCCTCTGTTCCAACTGCCAGTTGCCTTATATTAACACGCTCTGATGCTACAGAGTTATACATTCTACATTAAGTTTCAGGCTTTAGGGGTTGATTTATCGCACCTGATTACATAGTTTCGTAGCGAAGCACGGGCGTCCAGCTAGTCCTTAATATGAGAACTCAAGGAGCTTCTTGGATGAGAAGCGAAACGTTTTCAAGGAAAAGAAAGCAAAAAAAAAAAAAGTCCAGTTATCTTTTGGAACAGCACCTTTGGGACAACCATGACCTGGATGATTGAGACTCTCCATAGACCAATATTCCCAGCTTTATTTTTCTACAAGTCTATATATTTTTTTCTATATTTCTATAAGTCTTCAAAAGTCTCTGAAGATATAAGCCACATTGTTTTCATTGTAGATAGATTCATCCTGAGCACTGCTCCACGCATTCTATTGTTTGACTGCTCACCGTCATACAATGTGACCGCCACATTTTCCAACGGTGACTCTTTCTATTCCTTCTATTGTCAGCTGCCATACTGTTTGAGCCATTAAGTAGCTGTCTTCCCAAAAAATACCCCAGGGAGCTATAAACGAGCAGCCTTAGTCATAAAACCCACCAATTTCGCTTTTCATAATAGACGTCTCCAGCATAAAGGCATATTTAGATCAAACAGCTACACATAATTTCCTGATCAGCGCATGGCACACTTGGAAGATAAGCGCTCAGAAAGGGACCTGTGGAAAATTCCTTCTGAATACTTTAGCGCAGAACCACTGTGGTGTTTAAAAAAAAACACATCTCTATTCACCCATGTTGTCTTTCCTGTCTCCCACTGATATCACGTCTAGCATGTTTTATCAAGTGTTCTATGAGAGTTTTTATAGACATGATGGCTTCTCATGCTACCTTAAAGCTGAGTGGTTAACATTTAGAGAATTGCCATTCTAAAGAGTCTTATGCTTATGTATATCTGTTTGTAGATAATGAGATAGATGATGATGAAGATGAAGAAGAAGATAGATAGATAGATAGATAGATAGATAGATAGATAGATAGATAGATAGATAGATAGATAGATAGATAGATAGATGATAGACTGGTGATAGATTGGTGATAGATTGGTGATAGATTGGTGAGATAGATAGATAGATAGATAGATAGATAGATAGATAGATAGATAGATAGATAGATAGATAGATGATAGATAGTGTCAAGTATTTGCAAGCCATTGGCACATGTGTCATATAGACACCAGTGGAGGCAGAGAGTGTCTCCACCCCTATGTGGAAAGGAGGGGCTTACCCTGAGTATAAAACCCCCTCCAACCTTTTCCACCTTGCTCTCTCTCTCTCTCTCTCTCTTCGCGTTTGTTCCTCATGAGACTTGATCTCTGATCAGGGTAGTCACACACACTGTGTGCCCCCTATCCTATAATGAATACTGAGACAGCCTTTGTACATAGTTAATATGCTTTATTATATGAATAAATACATTTAAGACATTTATTCATGCATCTGCCTCTGAACTCTTCTATGCTCCTGGGTGTTTCTACGATCCCAATTCCACAGAATGGTAGCAGAGGGAATGATAGGAATTCTGCTACCATTCCCTCTGCTACCATTCTGTGGAATTGGGATCATAGATAGATAGATAGATAGATAGATACAGATGCTAGATAGATGATAGTTTGATTAGATGATACATAAATGATGGATAGATAGGTAAATAGATGATAGATTGATGATAGATAGATGATAGATTGATGATAGATAGATAGATAGATAGATAGATAGATAGATAGATAGATAGATAGATAGATAATTGATAGATAGATAATTTATTCAATTTATATCCCGTCCATTTTGCCATTTAAAGGAAAGTGGGTGGCTTACAATGCAATAAAAATATAAATATAAAAAGTATTACAAATATAAACACCAATTAAAATTCAAGAGTTAAATACAAACAACCTAAGGACCTGACTAGAGTGGCGACAGTGTGTTTTCTGGATGGATGGATGGATGGATGGATGGAGAGATAGACAGATAGCAATATTTCAAATTAGATGGCAACCCTGAAGCCTCAAAGATGGCCTCCACCTCGGAGTTCTGCTTTCTATGGGTGCATTACCATAGAACCCTGATATTAGACATGACTCCTATATCAAGCCAACTATTTTAAAAGTGGCTTACTCTTGCTTTCTTCCTCGACCAGAGAGTGACTGGCCCCAAATCACACAGCAAGATTTGTCCCTAAAGTGGGACTAGAATTCAGAATCTCTCAGTTTCTAGTCCGGTAGATTTAATCGGTGCACTAAACTGGTTCTAACCTAATATACAAGGACCAACATGAATAGTTGTTGGAAGGCCGAGGGAGAATTCTGTTTCTCTTTGCTTTCTACACCTAGGCCCATTTTCAGTAATGCAAGATAAATAGTAAGAGATTTTGCTGATGATATGCTGGATTTATTTTCTGCCATAAAGCGGAAGAAACAAAGTGGTTGGCTTTATTACATAGCCCATATCAGATGATCATAAAAGAGAAGAAAAAGTAATTATCAGGCTGATCCTAAAACTGTCTAGCCAGGAATCTTTCCCTCGACTTTCCCCAGAGTGTGTCATGAGGTAAAATAGCTACAGGATACTTTTGTTTAAAATGAGTGAAAAGAACCCAACTATAAACCAATAAAGAAGGAACACGTTGTTGGGGACATGTTTCTTTTTGTAGGACTTCTAGAAAATGCTTTTAAGAGACCACGGGAGAAATAAATTGATATTTTTCCTCAAAGTTTTCTCACCATTGGCCTCCCATCCCTGTCACATAAAAGCCTGAACACAGCAAAATGTAGATCACACATGTAGCCCAAAATACAGGCTGGAAAATAAATCTGATTAGTATTTTCCAACCGGGTGAGGTAGAACACTTGTAGCATATGTATTTATTGTATAGCATTAAGCAATAGCATTTAGACCTGCTATGGCGAACCTATGGCACGCATGCCCGAAGTGGCACACGGAGCCATGCCACCTGGCACCCGTGGCATCGCCTGTTCCTCTTCTGAGTTTCTGGTGCTCATGTGAGTGCGATGATCAGCTGGCCTTCATGCATGCACTAGTGCTGGAAACTGGAAGAGCTGGTCTTCCGTTTTCTGGTGTGAGAATGCACGTCAGCCAGCTGATTGTCGTGTGTGCATGTGCGCCAGTAACCGAAAGACTAGCTGACCAGAAGTTCATATTCCGCCATGTGCATGCCCCCTCGGCAGCTCCTCTTCCGAGTTGTGGACAGACAAGCGCATGTGTGCTCCCTTTTCGGCACTCGGTGCCAAAAAGGTTTGCCATCACTGATTTAGACTTATATACCTTGGAAGGATGGAAGGCTGAGTCAGCCTTGAGCCGATAAGAATCGAACATCTGGCAATCGGCAGAATTAGCCTGCAATACTGCATTCTAACCACTGCGCCATCATGGCTCTGTATGCTTTCCTTATCAGTTGCTACTACTGAGCCATGGCTACTGAACCACAGTGGCGCAGTGATTAGTGTGCAGTACTGCAGGCTACTTCTGCCGACTGCCAGAAGTTCGATTCACCACAAAAGATTCTCCAGAAGTTCAATGGGCCACAAACAACATATAACCAAAACAGAACAAAACAAAATCCCAAACCCCATCTAACAGGGGGATCAGCCTTCACTCCTCTCCAATGCTTGGAACGATATTAATATTAATTTAAATATTTTAATATTGAATCATTTTAATATTAAACTTTCATAGCTTCCTGAACTTCAGGATTGGAGCCATCGGGATGTCTAGAGCTGAGTTTACACCCAAAGCACAATGGATTCCTCAATGCCTCTTATTCTATAATTCTTCATTTCAATTCTTTATTTCAGATTAGATTCAGATAACCCAGCATTGCCCAGGTATTTATTTATCCCAATCCTGTATTAGACAGGAAGAGCAATTTAACAGATTTCGACAAGAATTCAATTAGTTAGAAATGTTTTCCCTTTGCCCCCAGAAAATTTGGACATTGTAGTTCTTTTCTCGTATGTACACCTTGTTGAAAATGTCCGGACCAAACATAATTTCTAATGTTGGATTTTCCCCCTTACTAGAGGGAGCCCACCTGTGGAATACTGTGAAGCTGTTACCATGGCAACTCCACTGTGCTGTACAGTAGAAGCCATTTTAAGGCAGTCCAGTAGGAGCCACTTTAAGGCACAACAGGCTGTATCTTAACAGAACACACACCCTGAGGGGTGTTAGGGGTGTCTTACCACCACAGTATTTCTTTCCAGAGAATAAGTCATCTGTGTACCAGGTTTGGTTGAAATTGCTCGAGGTGTTCCAGAGTTATGCTGGAACATACACACAAACACATCTGTTTTTAGATAGATAGATAGATAGATAGATAGATAGATAGATAGATAGATAGGTGCAATTCTAAAAACCTGCAAGTAAATAAAAATAATAATCTTGGCTGGTTTTTTTTAAAAAAAGAATCCGCTGTTCACACTTATCCAGATGAAAACCTTGTAGTTCAAAGGATGAATGTTTTCTATCTCCAACTGAGCTGTGGTGAACCAACTGAGAACTGTTCTTCTATAGCTAACTGGAGCTCCTATTGTCACTTTCTAGGTCTTGACGACTGCCTGCAGCAATACATTAAAAACTTTGAGAGAGAAAAGATCAGTGGGGAACAGTTGTTGCACATCACTCATCAGGAGTTGGAAGAATTGGGAGTCACTCGGATTGGCCATCAAGAGCTGATCCTAGAAGCGGTTGATCTTCTCTGTGCATTGGTAAGTGGATCCCTTTCCTTAGATCTTTGCTTTGTTCCGATCTTTGCAGCTTTATCATCCCAAAAGGGGAGGAAAAGTTGAGTTCACTGGACAGGGAAAGAGATATAATTCCATAAAATCTTCACACAGGAAGGCAAATATATGTGTCCCAGGATAATATTGCAGGATCCAATCTGGGATGCTTATCAGGACAAGAGATTGAAAATGGAGATAAAGATGAAACCAGAATTTTTCCTCTTGGTTCTAATGGAAAAAGAATTGGAGAAAAAGTTTGGAACTTTTTTGTTGACAGCCACAGGATTACAGTAGTGGCCAAAATTGTGGAAAACTTTTCAGAAAAGTGTATTTTTGAGGTTTGATGGCTAATAACACCACTTTTGGGGGGAGTTTCAAGGTAATCCTATTCCACTGCTGGAATAGCCTGGGAATAGCCCAGACTTTAACCCAATTGAAAATCTATGGAGTCGACTAAAGAAACTTGTTAGTCAGAAGTGACCCAGCAATAAAACCCAGTTAATAGAAGCCATCATTCAATCTTGGTTTCACATGATAACAGCTGCAGAACTAAAAGACTTGGTTCACTCCATGGGCAGACGTTATAAGGCCTTAATTCATGCTAAAGGTTACCCAACTAAATATTAACTGACATAGTGATAATTTTTGTATATCTCGTTTTTCTACGTTTCACTTTTCTTCTTTATACTGTAACTGCTAATAGCAAATAATAGCATTATTGCATTATGTTCTCGATTAAATTATCTTTCCATTGATATATAATTTTATGGTACTACTACTCCAAAAAAAAGTGGTGTAATTAGCTAGTTTTAGAAAATATACTTTTCCCAAAAGATTTCCACAATTTTGGCCACTACTGTATTGTATGCACAAAAATGGAAGGACACTTTGATTCCTACTATAGAAGAATGGTTGCAGAAGCTGAGGGAGTTGACTGAAATGTCAAAAATGACTACTCTGCTCAAAGAAAAGAACATAAGTACTTTTGTTTCCACGTGGAAACCGCTTCTGAACTTTGTGCTTGAGGTGGAAAAGAATGAAACTTTGATTCTTACAGCTTAGACTGATAGGCCTTTGTAGAAGTGACTGGTTCATACTATTTTGGTAAAGCGAAAAGTTGTGATTTATTGTTAATGCCTTATTCTACTGTAACAGAAAGAATCGGAAGTCAATGCTTCTTTTTCTTTTTTCTTTTTCCTAATCCTTCCTCACTTTTCTTTGCCCTTTCTCCCTTCCCACTCCCTGTCCTCTTATTTGCTTTTGTATTTTGCATTTTATAATACTTTATAATGCAATAAAAACATATTCGAAAAGGAAAAAACAAACAAGCAAACAAAAAAGGACCAGAGATTTAGTGCTGGAGCCCATCCTCCAGGAACTTCGATCTCACCAGAATATGTCATTGGTCATTCTGTTGAGGGAGAAGTTCCCTGAGAATGGGCTCCAGCATGAGTCCCAAAGCTTAGAAGAATAAACCTCTGGTTCTGGTGACTGACCCAAATTAGATCCTGAATAAAGATTCATATATGCGAGAATGGTCCATGACCTGTTTATTGACCATAGCGACCTCAAAGCTCCCTGCCACATATTCATGGAATGGGAATGGGAAGGAAGAAAGATGGAAAGATGGACAGTTGATAGTTTATGGTCAACAAGCAGCTTACAAGTAAAGTAGCAGCTGCTAAAACAGTCAACACAGCTCTAGGCTGCGTAAACAGAGGGATAGAATCAAGATCACTTGAAGTGTTAATGCCACTTTATAATGCCTTGGTAAGGACACACTTTGAATACTGCATCCAGTTTTGGTCACCATGTAAAAAAAGATGTGGAGACTCTAGAAAGAATGCAGAGAAGAGCAACAAAGATGATGAGGGGACTGGAGGCTAAAACATATGAAGAACAGTTGCAGGAACTGGGTATGTCCAGTTTAATGAAAAGAAGGACTAGGGGAGACATGACAGCAGTGTTCCGATATCTCAGGGGTTGCCACAAAGAAGAGGGAGTCAAGCTATTCTCCAAAGCACCTGAGGGCAGGACAAGAAGCAATGGGTGGAAACTAATCAAGGAGAGAAGCAACCTAGAACTAAGGAGAAATTTCCTGACAGTTAGAACAATTAATCAGTGGAACAATTGCCTCCAGAAATTGTGAATGCTCCAACACTGGAAGACTTTAAGAAGAGATTGGATAACCATTTGTCTGACGTGGTATAGGGTTTCCTGCCTAAGCAGGGGGTTGGACTAGAAGACCTCCAAGGTCCCTTCCAACTCTGTTATTCTGTTCAGAACACAAAGACAAGACGATAAAATTCTACAGAGATATTTTACGGCAAATGATGCTCAGAGAGGCATAAAATTTAGCAACACTCCAGATTACATCAAGATGGAGAACATCTAATAGATCATACAGATAGCAGCCACGCTCTCTGGCTGGAATCCTCTGAAGAATAGGGTACATTCTTCACCCACCGATATTGATAAAAGGCGCCATAAAACTTTATTTGACTCAAAGGGTTCCTCAGCACTTGTCCCACAAGGATACAGAGATCACAAAAGAGGCAGCCATTGCAATTTTCCCACTAACACTGTAGAGGGGGAGAACATCAAGTGTTTCCAGAACATTTTTATTTAAACCATTTGTACATGTATCGATCGGTACATGTTCTGTTGAACTGTGTGTGTTTTTTTTAATTGATTTTCTTGACATTTTATGTGCCTTTGGGTAAATATGTTTTTTTTTCCCTCTAAATGCTCTTCTGCAACATTTTGTATGTTGTTGCTGTTTGGTATATTTTACTACTTAGCATTTCTGGGATTCATAAGGATTACCTCCAACCTTTGTAGCCCATAGGTGGAAAGGTGGGGTATTGTCAGCTACATACAGATCCAAGAAAGACACATAGGCAGTGGCGGGCTTCAAAAATTTTAGCAAGGGGTTCTCTGCCTGGTTGCTGGGTGGGTGTGGCCCTGGTGGGCGTGGCCTAGTTGGCCTCCTGCACCATGGTAGGTGGGGTGTTTTTGCCCTCCCCGGGCTCTGGAGGCTTTCCTCGAGCTCCAGGAGGGCGAAAATGGTCTCCCCAGGCTCCGGAGGCCCTCTGGAGGCTGGAACCATTTCTGGCCTCCCAAACTTCCGGTAGGCCCATTTTTCGCCCTCCCCAAGCCTCCACGCACACCCTGCACTTACATGCATCCAAAACGGGCTGTGTGGGGACTCCTGGGAGGGGAGGGGTGGGAGGGGCCAGCCAGGAGTCAGATTTGGGGGAATTGCACAGAATCTTAGCTAGAGGTACTCCTGAACCCCTCGAACCCCCAGCAGCCCACTTCTGCAAATAGGGGTATCTCTGAGTAGGCCCTTTATTGTTCCCCATCTATAGACAGAAATCTTGCCAAAGTAGAGCATTTATGCATCTATGTAGATCTGGCAATCACTAGGGAGAAGCTGTATTAACTCTCTTCCACCCAACCAAGTTGGTATCTGTGGAGGTGGCTAGCAGCATTAAGCTTCTAGGTGTGCAGCTAAAGAGGAGGCTAGATTGGTCACTCAACAGTGAGAAGGGACCGGACAACCATTCATCTAAAATGGTATAGGGTTTCCTATTTCAGCAGGGGATTGGATTGGAAGACCTCCAAGGTCCCTTCCATCATTGTTATTCTGTCATATTTATTTCTGTGATTGATAAGTGTTGCCTCCAATTTCAGTAATGCATAGGCTGGAAAGATGGGGTATTGTCAAGACCCCAAGAAGCAAGAAAGACACATAGTATTACTTCTGACTAGTTCCTTTATTGTTCCTCACCTACAGACAGAAATCTTGCCGAAGTAAAACAACTACCTGTGTTTCCCCCAAAATAAGACCGGGTCTTATTTTTCTTTTGGGCCCTAAAATAAACAGTAGGGCTTATTTTCAGGGGGTGTCTTATTTTTTTCATGTATGGGAGGCCCACTTCTTCTGCTTGCTCACAGCGGGACAGGAGGTCATGTGGTGCACCAATGCCCCCCCCCACAAAGTATGGGGGTGGAGCTGCCCTGTGTGGCCCACACTGGTTTACCTCAGGGCTGCCGCAGCCAGGCCATCCATGCCCCAACACCTGCCTTGCCTCATGGCTGCAGCATCAACACACCACTCAGCCCCCTCTGAAAGCAAGCAGAAGTGGGCCGGTGACCACATGGGCTCCTGCTACACATGACTGTTGGTGCTGCCACTGTGAGGCGTGTCAGGGTGTGGATGGCCTGTCTGTGGAGGCCCTGAGGTAAGATGGTTTGGGGCACATGGGTCAACCCCACTGCCCTCCAGCCCCACCTTGAGGTTGCAGCACCACGAGCAACCAGATGAAATGGGCGGCAGGCTCTTAAGTAGGGCTTATTTTGGGAGTAGGGCTTAATTGGTAGTACAGTAGTTTAAGGCACGCTGTTATTAAGCTGGTTATTAAGACCAGCTGCCTGCAATTACTGCAGGGTTCGAATCTCGCCAAGGCTCAAGGTTGACTCAGCCTTCCATCCTTTCTAAGGTAGGTAAATTGAGGACCCAGTTTGTGGGGGCAATAAGCTGACTTTGTATAAATATACAAAAGGATGAAGGCTATTGCTGAGCACATTGTAAGCCGCCCTGAGTCTTCGGAGAAGGGCGGCATATAAATCAAATTAAAAAAAAAATTAGGCACATGAATTAAAACATGCTAGGGCTTATTTTCAGGATAGGTCTTATTTTTTGGGGAAACGGGGTATTTGCATCACCATAGATATACTCTGTGAACTGCTAGGAACTGTGACAGTTCCAACCAAACTGTCTAAACTTCCCTCTGGAATGCAACCCACCCCGCTTCCTGGGAATCCAGACTACATTCCACCACAGCTATACATGTAACAAATAATTTAAGCTCTTCTCTCAAAAGCAAACTTTATCCATTGGGCAACTAGCTTAAATTACTTGTGGTTAGGAAACGCAAACGGAAGATTGGCGATCCCAATTGAAACTTTCTGCGTTCGCG